CCGAAGTCCTCCTAGTCTGGCTGGTTTGGTTTGCCTTAGAGGTGGAAAAACCCCGGCCTTGGGCTGTAACTGCCTTGTTTGAGCAATTTGTCCTGAGTTGGCACTCTCAGTTGGGTTCCGCCAGAACCGCATTGTCACAGAGGTGCTTTGGCCGCAGGTCTCTGGGTTCGATATGGGGGTAACAGGGACAGCTCTCTGGCCTGTGCCAGGCGGGGGGGGGGGGGAGAGGGGGGTGTCAGACAGTCCTGTCCAGCCTTTGACTCTACGACCCCACGGCTCCAGCCCCTGTGCCCTCTTCTGCAGCAGCTGTCCACCTCTGAGCCCCTGTGCCCCCTCCCCGTCCCTGTGTGGGCCTGGCAGAGCCGCGCCCGCCCTCGCACCTGCACACAGTGGGCAGCATTCCCCGGGCACCTGGACGGGGCGGAGGCAGGAGCCGAGGCAGCGGATCTGGGCGCAGGTGGCGATGCCGTGGGTGCACAGGCAGGACACGCAGGGGGAGGAGAACCAGCTGGTGCCGTTGGCGTGCTCCTGCCCGTCGTACATGCAGCCTGTGGGCACCGGGAGAGCAGCCGGTCAGACTCACGCCAATGTCACACCTGTGCCCTCTGCACAGGAGCATCAGGCCGATATAGACCAATGGGCACCCACTGTCCCACGCCAGAGCCTGCAGCGGCCTGCCCGGGGGGGCACTATCGGCCCAATATGGACCAACAGAAGTCGCCGACTCCCCATGCTAAAGAATCATTATTGACTGATAGGGACCGATGTTTGGGGCAGAGTTATGTAGATGGCCCGCCTCTCTTAAAGGGATAGGCCCGCCACCCCCGGGGGGACATTGGGCGGGCAGTGGCCGGGGCATGTGGTACCTTTGCAGCGGGGGCAGCAGTCCCCGGGCTCTATCACTTGGTGGGTGCACGTCAGCGGGGGGCACGGGGCCTTCACGCAGAGCACGTCCCCGCCCTGAGAGGGGAAAGGCAAAGCCGTCAGCGTGGGGGGAGCCCCCGGCCTGGGATACCCCCCCCTCCACCCGGAGGGCAACCCGTCCGGAGCACGAACGGGGGCTGGAGATCGGGGCTGGAGAATAGGTCGATGGAGCTCTTGCCCCAGCTGGGGGTGCTGGTGCCCAGGGTCGAATGGCGAACGCTCTTCGTCTGGACCGTGTCTTCGCTGACCAGCGGCGTTTGGGCAGAACATTTGCACCAAGTCCCCGGTGGCTGCCACCTAGTGCAAAACATCCAGCAAACCCACCCCAGCCGGGGGGCCTGTCGCCGGGCCTGGGACAGTGCCGCTTGGGGGGCTTGGACAAACACCTGCAAAACAATCAAATCCTGGGACCCACACGACCAGGCGGGGCCAGTACAGCCGGGTCCAACCTGCCTCCCTGGGCACACTGTGACCCACACATGTAACCCACACTGTGACCTACACACGCCCAGGCGGGGTCAGTACCCCCGGGGCACAGCGAAGGGGCCGTGGGGGGCTCTCCCCAGAGGGAAGAACCAGCCGGTGCTCATGGGCATTGCACACACAGTCCCCGCCCCAGCCCCCCAGGAACCTGGTGGCCTCAGCCCATGTGGCGTTAGTGCCCAGCTCCCTGGAGCCTTGGAACGACTGGCTGGCCCCCGCCCGCGGCTCTCGCTGCCCTCCCAGTCTGTGCCCCAGAGATGGGCGCGGTGCTGGGGGGGGTCTGGCTGACACGCCTGCCCTGACCTGGGCAAGGAACGCCCGGCACTGAGCCAGCCGGGCACCAATGCCCCGAGCCAGCCTGCTGAGCCGGGGTGGGGGCGGGGAGAGACAGGAGCCATGCTCGGGTCCCAGCCCTGGGCACTACTTCAGCCTGTACCTCGTTCTGTGGGTGCGGGGGGGGGGAGCTGGGGCACCAGCGGAGCTGGGGGCGGTGCAGCCAGGTAGGGGGCAACGAGGCCAGGAGAGTGGGCAAGTAGGGGGTGGTGCAGCCAGGGGAGGGGTGGGGGGTAGGTTGGGGGGCTGCAGGGGGAGCCGGCTAGTCTTGGCAGCTAATCTTGGGGCATGGGGGGGCTGGGGGATGAAGGCAGCCCAGCTGCCCCCCCAGGGGTAGGGGAGACCGCAGGGGGATCCAGGCATCTCCACCCCCACCCTGCCACGGCCCCGTGGTGCAGGGGATCTCGGGGCAGGCCCGGCACGTGTGGGGTCACTGCCCCTCTGCCCCCGCTGCACTGAACCCCAGGGCGCCTGGCCTGGTCCTGCCAGGGAGTGAGTTCCCACCGGGAGGGTGGGGCCAGGCCCGGGGAGATGTGCGGGGGCCCAGACCGACGGGGGCGGGGGGCTCTAGGGGACTCTTACCGCACAGGAGCACCGCTGGCAGGGGTCCGTCGGGGACGGCCAGTGCGAGCCCTCGGGATACTCCTGCCCCCCGTGCCGGCACACTGAGACAGAGAGGGGGGTCAGTGCCGCCCTCTCGCTCTGGCCAGATGTGCTGAAGTGAACCACTGCAGGGGGCTGCCCATCCCCACGGCCCTCCCCCATCCCCCTGGCTCTCACCCCAACCCCCCCGGCTGGGCCATGCCCCCACCCCTTCCCCTCCCCCTGCCCTTGACTGTGCCTCTCCCCCCCCCCCGCTCTGCCCCATCCCCCAGGCTATGCCTTGCCAGCAGCGCCCCCTAGTGGAGGCAGCTCAGCTGGCACCTCTGTGGCTTCTGCTGTCCCCGAACCCGCCCAGCCGCCGGCAGCAGCAGCTAGAAGGCAGGAGGCAGCGGGCTCCTCACCTGGACACTCAGGGCAGCAGTGGCCCGGGCGCCGGACGGGGCTGGCACAGGCGACCTGGGGGCACAGGACGGGGGCGCAGAGCACGTTGCCATGCAGGCAGCGGCAGCGCTGGCAGGGGTCCGAGGGCGGGGTGACGGCCTGGCGGCTGGCGAGCTCCTGGCCCTCGAAGAGGCAGCGGTTGCAGTCGGGGCAGCAGGAGGGGGCGGCGGGCGGCACGGGGTGGGTGCATTGCTGCAGGCAGGGCTCGCGCTGGCACGTCACTGCTTCGTCCTGCGGGCACACGGGGCTGCTAGGCTGCGGGCAGGGGGCTCGCAAGAGAGGTGGGGGAGGGGTACCCGAGACAGCAGGGGGTGTCTGAGAAGAGCAGGGCTGGAGGGGGGGGATCTGGGAGGAGCTGGGCAGTGATGGGGGGGGATTATTGGATCGATCTGGGTGGAGCACCGGTTGGGGGGGTCTGAGCAGGGGCCAGGAGGTGGAGGGAGGGAACCAGGTGGGGTTTGGAGAGGGATCCGGGCAGAGCATGTGGAATCTGGGAGAAGCCAGGTGGGGGTCAGAAAGGGCAGATCTGGCTAGAGTGGGGCGGGGATCAGAGGGGGGAACCCAGCGGAAGTCGGGGGATCAGGGTTGGGGGGGATCGAGGTGGGCGTCAGACAGGGGGATCAGGCAGAGTGGGACGGGAGTCGGAGGGGAGAACTGAGCGGGAGTGGGGGGGATCCAGGTGTATCAGGGCAGGGGTCGGAGGGGGAACGGGACAGGGGTGGGGGGGATCCGGGTGTATCAGGGCAGGAGTCGGAGGGGAACGGGACAGGGGTGGGGGGATCCGGGTGTATCAGGGCAGGGGTCGGAGGGGGAACGGGACAGGGGTTGTGGGGATCTGGTGTATCAGGGCAGGGGTCGGAGGGGG